ATAAGATATCTATTAAAAAATACAGATGAGTTTTTGGACGGTCACAAGAGCCGTGTTTATTCTCCAAATACCAAAACACATTTTCGAGCACAAAGAACGACCGCAACAGAAGTCTGATATTGTTATTCTTAAGACTAATAAAAAACTCTTTCTACAACGGGCTATCTCCACAAAATATACTTAAATTAGATGTTACGTTGACGAATATCTGTGCGTTTTACATTTTTCCAAGGTAATGTCGAAATGAAAATGGAGATTTTTGAAGAGTTTTTTTAAATTTGCCTGCAGATAATGATGCAATTTGGCTGGAAATGAGAGATTTCACTTTCCTCTATATATCGGAGTATCTCTCACCATATTTGATTACTGTCACGCTTCTTTCCAAATTTGCGAATGCAAAAATGAATGGCCGAATTGATACTAAGATTTTGATACCATTCTTATCCTTCTGTCTGCCCCGTTTCTTAATTACGCATAAACGAAATGTATAGTATACAGAAAACGTATATTTCTTTGTGAGTTAGATTTTATAAGATTTGATTTTACCTTCATCTTTGCGATAATATATAGACGATTTTGGTTCGCGTCCAGAATACTCGATACGATAAAATAAAATGCGGTCAAATTGTTTTAAACTGTATTTTGCAGCAACAAGTAATCGTTGCAATTCAAATTGTTCCTTGTTTCTGAAACTAAATGCGATTCCTTAAAACTTGCTTGACTTGCATTTCAACAACTTCGGCCAATATTTTCCGATTCTGGTTCTCCCGTAAAAGACTTGATTTTGTCGTACTTCATAGCACAGGAAATTTCTTCAATATCAGGCTTCGCCTGAGTTAGCCAAAATTAATGCCTATCACCGTCAATAAACTGGACTGAAAATGTAGTTTTCCTTACTCAGGATTAAATTCCTTCTGTAGATCAAAATAGCCTGACCAAATATATCCTAAACTACCAAGTCGAAATTCTTAATGACCATTGTATGCAGCTCTCACCACACTGAAGATTTGCACCTCCGGTTCTTGTTACTAGGGGCTTGGCTTCGTTTGCGCACACTGTAAAAATCGCAGATCACACAGGCGCCCCCTAGGAGAACATCCTTCCATTCGTGAAACTTGGTTAGTCATATATAAATAAGAAAATCATTCTATTTAGCATCCAGGAGGGTAGTTTAACGAATGAAAAATTGGCGGTATTTGATAAAATAATAAATAAATGCTGTCTCGTGAGCAGTGAAATTTAAAAGAACGAACAAGGGAAGCATCTTCAGAATAGAAGTATAAGTTCTCCCTAGTTGTAGCAACAAAGCATAACCGAGTCATATTGTAGTTTCTGAACGAAACTTTGTGCCATTCGTCGTTATTATAACTGCCCGCAAATGTGTTCAACCATTAGCGTAGACATATACATGCTTTGTTTGACAAGTTTGCCGATTTTTATTAATAAAAATACTTCTAATTTACCTCTTTGAGGTCTGAACTTCTACTATAGGCATAAATTAAGCCTAGAAAGTATGGTTTCTATATCACCTGGACGGCAGACTCGATAACCAGCAAGAGCGCAAAGATGGGCGCATCTCCGACACTCGATGATGCTCTCATGACATCTGAGACCCTCTCCTCGTGTGACCTTTAGGATATTGATTAAAACAGCGATGGGCTCCTCCTGAAATGCTTCAAAGCCGCAGCAGCAGGCCATCCGATTTTGTATATAATCGCCTCTCCCCACGGGCGATAGCTTTTTTCTCCTTAAAATCCCTCAAATTTCATTCATCCCTAGAATTTCCGAACAAGGCCTAAGGAGTTTTTTCCACTGTCTGCTCTTTTTATCCAGTTCCATTTACTGGCAAGGCCACTCTTTTGCAATTTTCTGCTAGACCAATGCATTTTTATAGCTGCTCTGTGCCAATAGGGTGTTCAAAGGCATTTACTTAGATTTCCCTGTAATAAACCTAACCTGACCTGGCCAGTCTTGCACGTAGTTGTGACCAGCAACTGCCCGCTTTGCACGCATGGAAATCACTGGTGTACCTAGACCTGGTTTCATACGTGTAGTACATGAGATGAGGAAGAGCATGCTTCATGCGACAGGTTATTGAGTGAGAATATAAGAGCATCGATGACTACGAGTTGCGTCAATGGTAGGGGCGGCTTATATGGTCCCCTAAACTGGATATACCAACAGAAACCGCACTTTACCCTGGTGCCCTAACGCCACATAACATGAAAAATGGGGTTAGGGTAAGGTTTGGGGTTGAGTTTAAGATTAGGATTAGCGTTGAGGTAAAGCAAGAGAGGGTTAGTGTAAACTGTAGGGTTAGGGTGAAGTTTCGGGCCACGGTTTAAGCATACGCAGTCATTAATGTTAAGACAAGGGAATAGTTGCCCTTCCTTGAGTTATGCACAGGGCCACCTTTATTACCTGGGGTGAGAGGGGGGACATAATATTCCCGTGTTCTGTTTAGGGGTCTACATAAGTAACCTCTACCGACTGTGCCCTTCATTTGCAAGAACGAGTTATCTTCTTTCTAGGTAAACCATCAAACAGCGAAATCGCTGACAAGAGTCACCAATGTTTACG